TATATATATATAATGTCTGTAGGTGTGTATGTATGTCTGGATATGGAAATGTGTCCGTGGATGTGTGTGTGTATGAATACATATCTGTGGGTGTGTATATGTGTGGAAAGATGCAGGGGTCAGAGAACAACTTACAGGAGACTGTTTCCTCCTTTTCCCCACAGGAGTAGGTTTGGGGGATATAATTTTGCTTGGCAACCTTGGCAGCAAGCACCTTTCCCCTCCCGCTGTCTTACGGGCCCCCAGTTTTGTTTGTTCTTGAAATTGAACCTGGGGCTTTGTGCACATTAGGTAAGCATTCTGTCAACTGAGCTACACCCCTGATAGATTCTTTATTTGAGAAACATAACTAATTGGTCTATAAAAATTTTTGTTTTGTTTTGAAGAAAAGAGGACTTGCTCTGTTGAAGAGCAAGACAAGAACAATGTGCTGAGAGACAAATTCATGCCCTGGTTACCTGTGGGTCAAGGGGAAGGCCAAGTACTTGAAAGCCTGTTCACAGGGGTCGCTGACTTGCTTGTGACCTTGGCGAAGTCTCCTTCAACTCCAGAGTGCTGAAGGAACTGGATTGGATTGTTCAATCTGCCAGTGAATAGAACTTCATAGGGGCTGCCTGAACTTTGGGTAGAGAATTATAGTAGGGCCTCAAGCAACCTGATCACGAAAGAAGTGATCAATTAGTAATGTCTGCAGTGAGCAAGGGAATAGGGAGTGAACAAGGAAATTCCATTTGTCTGCAAATTCCTGGGCTAGAAGATCTCTGAAGACATTAATTCCTTTAAATATTTCATCCTAAAAACATTTATAAAAAAAGCTGTATAATAGGAAAAATGTAAAGAAATAAACTGATTTCTAGATTTATTATTGCTATTTTGTGGTCTTTTAACAGCTTGAAATATATATGTGTTTTTCTGTCTTAATAGCTACCTGCGGGACAAGCTCTGAGGAAAAGAAAAATATGGTTGGGTTTAACAGAAATTCAGCATGAGGTATCTGTTAGGTCGGAAGTGATTTATGTAAGGAATCCTGTTTTGTTAGAACATAGGCTGTTGTTCCGTTCGGAGCCCTTTATATGAAACAGATGCCCAATCTATAAATCAGGCACCCCGCAGTAAAGGAGATGGCATTTTGTATAAATTATGGTGCAGAGAGGAAGTTGAGGCGTGGATGAACAAATTTTCTTTGGCTTTTTGGTATAGGAGTCATTTTATCAATCATCTCTCTATGGTAATCTCCCTCTACCCCTGTGCACCTCTTAAGGGACTGGTAATGAAGAAAGAGTTGGAAGGTGTGCAGAGAAACTTAGGTCTACTACGACCCAGGGAAGCTACATAGGTCCCTTCCAGCCTCAAACGCCTTTGGTTTTGGTTCAAATGTAACTCTCAAAGGAAACCAGATCACTGTCCTCTCACGGGGTTCCGAGAAGCAATGAAATTTTTTATCCATCATTGTCTTTAGTGATGTGCTTCTGCTTTCCCACTTAAATAAGGCAGAGGGCCTGCATAGATGGCACATCCAATAAAGGGCTTGTCTTATGAGCGTGAGTACCTGCCTTCTTGCCCCAGAGCCAGTGTTGAGAATAGCCAAGCATGATGGTACACTTGCAGTCCAGTGCTAAGGAGGAAGGAAACACGTGGATTCTTGGGGTTCACGGCAAAGTAGTCTAGCCTGCTTGGCAAGTTCCAGGTCAATGAGAGACCCTGTCTCAAAATACAAGGTGGGTGCCAGGCGGTGGTGGTGTATGCCTTTAATCCCAGCACTCGAGAGGCAGAGGCAGGTGGATATCTGTGAGTTCGAGCCCAGCCTGGTCTAGAAGAGCTAGTTCCAGGACAAGAACCAAAAGCTACGGAGAAACCCTGTCTTGAAAAAAAAAAAAATACAAGGTGGGTAACACCCGAGGAACAAGAGCAGGGGTTGTCTTTGTGCTCTTTGACTCTGTGAGTGAGATCCAAAACTCGCCACCCAGTCTGAGGACTGACCCCACCTACCAGTGCTCAGTCAGACGTGCATCTGGCCCTCAAGGTTTGCAGTGCAGCAAAGGACCAGGAAATATCTCGAATGACAGGTAGTTCAGATGGGGTTTCAACTGACTTGGAAAGCACTTCCTCTTAGAAAAGTGTTAAATTTTTTTCTTCTGATTTTGTAATATGAAATGATTATATATTCACTTGGTTAAAAAAAAAAACTCAGGAAGAACTCAAGGGGGCTGGTGATACAGTTCAGCACTAGAGGGCTTCTTCCACCCTAGGGAAAATAAAAAGAAACCAAAAGGAATTGTTCTAAAGACTGACCCCACCTACCTAATTCCCTGTCTCCTGGCCCGTTTGTAACTGGTCTTACTTCTGGTTTTTATTTCTAAATAAATGTACTGTTGTTCTTTGCCATTTCATGGAGATTAGGATGCCCCGTGCTGAACTGCACTCTTCATTTTTTACCTAATGGTTTTCCTGGGGTGTTTTCCACAAGGGACAGAGAGTCTCTTCTCCAGCTGAGCAATATCACGCCATTGTCCCTTGGCTTACTTACCTACCTGTCCTTACACGGCAGAGAGCCATCCCGCTGTCCGTGCTCACAGCTCTTTTAAAGGCTGTCTGTCACTTTGCTTAGTGCTGGTTTAGGTACAGATGGAAAAACAAATTCCCGGGAGTGGAGTCGCTGAGGGAAAAGTCAATGCATCTGTAATTTGGATCGCAATTGCCATTTAGACTCCCCAAAGGGCTGTACCACTTTGCACTTTTGCCAACAGGGTAGAAGAGTGCAGAATTCGGCTATTTATTCCAGAATGTGTAATACAATTTGGAGATTGGATCTTTGCCGGTTTGATACGTAAAAATGCTAGCCCTGTATAGTGAGTGCTGCCCTGTATTTTTCTTATTACTAGTGAAGTTGAACAACTTTAAAATAGCCAAGCGCAATTTACGTTTCTCTTTCTGTGACCTGTCAGTGCTTTAAGAATATTTTTTTTTCATGAAAAATCTACTCTATTTCCTGAACATATATAGCTTAAAGGTCTAAGCTCAGCCTCCTTTACAGGAGTACTCATTTAACTTTCTAAGCATACCTGCAAGTTGGGTACAACTGGTCTGTGTTGTTTTTTTCTTTACATGTGTATGCTTGTGTGTTTACATGTATGTGTTGGTCCGGACTCCAACTTCCAGCCTGCCAAGTGCTGACCCCGCCCACATGGTATTTAGGGTTGTCCTGGAACACGTGGTTATGGACTGTGAGTTTGCATGTGCTCTCCCTCTGTCTTCCCCTGCCATGCTCCCAGCCACCTGGGAGTGTGCCGTCTATAAAACACAGGCATTTGATTTGGCTTAATCTGGTTTGATTGGAATTCTTTGTGCTGGTGGAGAGTCTTTTCTTAACAGTATGTGGGAACACAGTGGGAGGGTGCAAGTGTACACTTGTACCTGTGCAAGGGAAGGCCTGAAGTTGATATCAAGAACCTTTTTTGATTGGTCTTCCACGTTATTCTTTTGAGTCTCCCCCTACTCCACTTTCTCTCAGAAAGGGTCTTACTATGTAGCCCTGGTTGGTCTGGAATTAACCGATATCTGTCTGTTCCTGTCTCCCAGAGTGCTCCTGTCTCCCACTGAAGTAGTCTCCTGAAACCCAGAACCCGCCTAGTCTAACTTGTTAGTCACCTACCCCAGAAATGCCCTGTATCTACCGCCCAAGGGCTGGAATTACAGGACAGGCCCCCTCCCGTCTAACATTTATGTGGGTTCTAGGGACCCAGTTCTGGTCCTTTTGCTAGGGTGGCAAGCGCTTTAACCTTGGAGCCATCGTCCCATCCTGAATGGTCTGTTTCTTTAAAAAAAAAAAAAGAAAGAAAGAAAGACAGACAGGCAGACAGACAGACAGACAGACAGACAGAAAGAAAGAAAGAAAGAAAGAAAGAGAAAAGAAAACTGGGGTTCTGAATGACCAAGTAACTGACAGGCCATACAATCAGGAAGAAACAAACTTGAATTACCCAGGGCCTCTAGGGGCTTATGGGCAAATCAGCCAGGGGTATGCGATCTTTGTGGCACAACATTGACTTTGTTATTTATAGAGTTTGTGCTCAAGAGCCACAGCTGAATTATCAAAAACAAGTAAACAAGAAGGCAAGCAAGTAAACAAACAAAAATTTAAAAAATTAAAAAAAACCTTCAAAATGTTTTAAGTAAGTTTACAGCTTTGAGTTGGTCACGTGCAAACCTATTCTGGGTCATGCCCCTTGTGGGTTGGATGCCCTGTCTGGGGCATGGGTAGTACTATGTGTCTTAGGCAAAAGCCAGAGTCAACTCGTTTGAACTGGTTTTCATTATCAAACACAGAAGCAGATGGATGGAGGCTCACGCTGCGACATTCATTCTGGAAGTGTGTGGAAGACCAGCAGAGATCAGAAGTCTAACACACACAGTCCACCCAGCCAACAGACCACAGGGAGACTGATGCACACACCACCGCACCGCAAGCCCAGGAAGCCAAGACAAAGCAGAAGCAACAACCCACCTTTGTCACTCAGGAAAAAAAGGTCACAGAGTCACAAAGGGTAAATGGCCGGTGGAAAGCAAGCACATAAGCCAGGCCTCATCACAACTGGCTTCACATTGAGCCAGAAAATTGCAAGACGCTGCATCTCCTTTAACCTCTGCTGCCTCATGGAGCTTGTGGGAACCTGGGTCCTAAGGGTTATGCTGAAACCCCTCCCCAAGGTAGCTGCTTGCCCCCCATGTGCAGAGCCCGTGGGGCCTGCGAGGACCATTTCCCTTCCCAGGTGTCCTCTCTGTTGGAAGTTGCTTGGGCTGCAGATGAGAACTGAAACCGAAATACCCCCTAAAGAGAGAAGTGGATGAAAAAAAAATTCTTCGTTCGTTTACAACTCTTGACAAATCTGCAAGATTGGACACAAGAGCATTACTAAATGATTAAAAGCCCAGGTTCTCCCCTGTGGGAGTAAGTGTGGGAGAGTATTAGATTACTGCTGAATAATGTAATCACTGCAGCTCTCTGACAGCTCAAACATACAGCCAGGACGCCCCTTTTCACTCTGTTTACCAACTGCATTCGAAAAGCCATCTTCCTTCTGGCGAATTTCCCCATTTTCCTCTACTTGAGTTTATTGTGACTCAATAAAATATGAACCTGGTGGATTGCAACTTCCTTAAAGCAGCAGTCGCATTTTCTATGCAGGGTGGAAGGAGTGTGGTAACAGGACTCGGGAAGTGCCTTTGGTGGAGGCAGGAAGGATGTGGGTCCCTCACGCAAAGGAAGGCGAATCAGATGGACTTGGACTGGGCCACGGATTTAATTAAACTGGCACTACCTTGTGCATTCTCTCTACTGTTAGGAATCAATTTCTGAATTTCTTCCAGATGTCCATATTTGATGACAATCAAAGCAGAAACGTTCCCAGGGGGAAATAATTGCTTTGGTACTATTAAGCTGGCTGTGAGTGGTTAGCAAAAACACACAGACCAGCTGGGCCAACGTGGTGCCTAGACGGAAGCCCCTTCCTTCTGTGTTTCTCCTTGTGTGTTACTGCCACTGTGGGTCTTTATTTTTTTAGCTTCACAACCTCTAAATAGTCAGAAAGGGCAGAGCAGGGGATGGGGAGATGGCTTAGCTGGTGAGGTGCTTGTCATGCCGACATGAGACCCTGAGTTCAATCTCTAGCACCGACTTGAAGATTCCAGGAGAAGAGGTATGTGCTTGTAACCCCAGGACTAGGGATCCCTCCAGGCCAGTTTTGCTAGTGAACCGCAGAACTCAATGAGAGATCCTGACAGTGTCTCAATAAAAGGGGAGTGGAAATAACTTCTGCAGAACCATAGCTGAGTTTGACCTCTGGCATGAGCATGCATGAACACATGCATGCCCCTGCCCTTACATAAACACTTACAAGGTCAGGGCAGAAAAGGCAAGTATCAAGCATAACCAACCGTGGCCAGTCTCGGGCACTCTGTCATATAAACCTCACTTTCTCAACCGTTGGCAGTCTCCTGTGTCCTTGCCTTGTTGAATTTTTAAGATTTTGTGGACTTCGTCTCACTGGCTACTGTTTCCGTCCACAAATGATGGCATATTGTAGAAATGTATTTAATGTCTGTAGAGTAGTATTGCTAAGGCAATACTACTAAAAATGGCAGAACTAGAACTCAGGCCAGGTATCAGATTTTGAGACCAATGATCTTACACACCATAGTGTTCTGTGAAAGAGCCTTTCCCTTATGGCTAGGGCATGGATGGAGAGGAACTCCGCATTCCTGGACTAACTTGAGTGAGAGATGCTCCAGTGTCTAGTAGTGTGGCAAAGAGACACAATGCAGCTGTCTGCAAGGGAACTTCAGGCCATTGTCGCGAGTCCACAATGGATCTGCCTAAACTCATTCTATGATTTGATTATGACTGGCGATAGTCAACTCAGATTTAAGGGATAGTTAGTGAGGTGAAACTCAAAAGTTGGCAAAAAAAAAAAAAAGGTGGTAGAGGAGGTCAAACTCAAAACTTCAAAGGTAGACTTTAAGTGTTCCTTCTAATATTTGAAGTCACATTTCTTCACAAAGATCTAAGTGTCTAGAGTGGCCTTTGATTGTGTTTTAAATGGAGGCAGCTAAAATTCTATGGCCATGATTAAAAACTCAAGGGTAGCAACTACAAAAATACCTTGAAATCATTTTTTTTTAAAAGTTAAATGTCTTCTTAGAATCTGTTTTGTTGTTGCTATATGTGAGCTTTCGTCTCTCCTTGGTGTGTGTATGTGTGTGTGTGTGTTTGTGTATGTATATGTTCCTGTGTTTGTGCATAGGTTCACATGTGGACATACTTATAGAGGTCAAAAGTCAACCTCGTGTGTCTTCCTTGGTCTCTACTTTGTTGTCTAAGACAGGGTCTCTCAGTGTCCTGGAACTCACTGCTTAGGCCTGGCTGACTAACCGGCGAGCCAGGAATCCACCATCTCTGCCTTTCCAGCTCTTAGGATTACAAGTGTATGCCACCATGCCCAAGGATTGAACCTGGGTGGCCATACTTGGGCAGCAAACACCATCCCAAATGAGTGATCCACCTCTCCAGCCCCCCTAGCTCTGGAGATAAGGCAGCATGAGGAGGTCAGAGTCACCCTGGCCTTAGGTGTAGCACCCTTTGAAGTAGTCTTACTTCGTCTGGCTGGAACCAATATTTTCTCACTACACTGAGATTTGGTCTCTTCATCTTTTTTTTTTTTTTTTAAACTTTCCTACTAATATGTCATGAAGAAACAGTGCTGTTAAAAAAAAAGTCACCTCATGAAATTTGTGTCAGTTATAAACACCCTTTAAATGTGAGTTGGGCTGTGAATCTGACATGTGCCACCTCTCTGGGCATTGGTGATGTCTATGGAAAGCACCATGATGATAAATGTTGTGGCTTCTATTAGGAGCCTAGTACATCACCACATCACCGAGGTTACTCTTCAGCTTGCTGGGCTGAAGTTGATTTGTGTGTGGTTTTCTTTTTGTTCCTCGCTCAGAAATAACACACCTCCAGCAGAGTGCGTGACTTTTAAATGTTCACTGTTTGGTGGAATTTAGATAAGAACACATTCAATATACTCCAACCCTGACCTCCATGGAGAACAATTCCAGCACGCCTGATCATTCTTTCATGGGAAATGATTATTCTTTCTAAAATAAAATCGAAAATGCATGTATATGTGTGTATTCATCCGTGTGTGTGTGGTACAAACATATGAGTGTGCAAATGTGCACATTTTTGCCCGTACATGTGGAGATCAGAGCAGGACACTGGGGGAGGGGTCTCCTAATTTTCTCCACCCTATTGCCTTGAGACAGGGTCTCTCACTGAACCGGAAGACCATCGTGTCAGCTAGGCTGGCTGGCCAGGAAGCTCTCAAGATCTACCTGTCTCTGTCCCCCACTGCCAGTGCTGGGGTTGTAGGCATGTACATCCATGTCACATTAATTTTGGGTGTCTGTAATCCTCCTGCCGGGGAGGTGAAGACAGTAAAATGCCTTGGGCTCATGGACAGGTCAGCCCATCCTAAATAGTAAGTTCCATGTTCAGAGAGAGACCCTGTCTCAAAGAACAAAGTGGAGAGCAATCAAGGAAGATGCCCAACAGCAGCCTCTCATCTCTATACACAAGTCCGCACACATACATGCTCCCTTACACACACATGCACAAACCAACACACACATGAACATACACCACACATGCATACACAAAGGAAAAAATGGTCAGTTATTTTGTGGAACATTCCTCAATTTTGGTTAGTGTGATGTTTCCTCAAGTTGAAATTCAGGATGTATATTTTTTTGGCAGTGATGCCACAGAATTGCTTTTGTGCACTTCTAATTGCTTATGAGACAGGTGATAGTGAACATTTGCCCACTGACTTTAGCTTCTGTTATTAATGTTATTAATGATCTATATTTATGAACTATAATTCTACTATAATGGGGAGCTATTCCTTCTCCAATTTCCTTTATTTAGTTATTTACCTATGAATTTTCTGTTAATATATTATTGTGTAAAAAGATAATAACCTTTATCTCATTCAATTCTGTGGTAGTTTGAATGTAATTGAGCCTCACATAGGGAGTAGCACTATTAGGAGGTGTGGCTTTATTGGAGCGCTTATGATCTGGTTGGAGGAAGCATATCACTGTGGGGGCGGGCTTTGAGGATTCCTATGCTCAGGATTCTGCCCAGTGTCTCAGCCTACTTCCTGTTGCCTGCATATTAATATATAGCAGCTTCCTCTCCAGCACCCTGCCTGCCCACACACTGCCATGTCCAGCCGTGATGACAATGGGCTTAACCTCTGATTCTAAGCAAAACACACAAGTAAATGTTTTCCTTTGTAAGAGTTGCCGTGATCATAGTGTCCGTCACAGCAATATAAACCCTAAGTAAGACAAATACTTTGTTATTGTTTTGGTTTGGTTTTGAGACAGGGTTTCTCTGTGTAGCCCTGGTTGTCCTGAATATTTTCTATAGATCAGGCCGGAGTCAAACTCACAAAGATCTGCCTTCCTCTCCCTCCTAAATTCTGGGATTAAAGGCATGCACCACCACCAATGGGCTTAGTTATGTGCGTTCTGTATCAGTTACTTGTCTGTTGCTACAACAGTATGTCTGACAGAAGCATCTTAAAGATTTATTTTGGGTCACAGTTCCATCCTGGCAGCAGGAGCCTGAGGCAGCTGGTTACCCTGTGTTTGCAGTGAGGAAGTGGAGAGCAATGAATATCCATGTCCAGCATGCTTTCTCCTTTCTATGTAGTACAAGACCCACCCCATGGGATAGTACTGTCCACACTTAAGGCTGGTATTCCTATCTCAACCTAGGCCTTCACAGGCATGCCCAGAGGTTTATTTCCTAGGAGACTCTAGATCCTGCCAAGTTGCTAAGAAACATTACACTTTGTGTTCATTATTTGCTTGCTGGGTACCAATCTGTGTTGTGCATATTTAGTTCTCTGTGTATCATCCATTATTATCACTATCTTATTACTCGTCTTGTCTCAACTTGGCTCACTGTGAGACCCTTCAGCTGACTCTTCTATCTCCCCGTTTGTTGACTCCTCTTAGTGTTGTTGTTATTGTTTAATGTTTCCCTGTACTCTAGAATCACAAAACGTTCAGCCTCATCTTGTGCTTTCCCTGGCTCAGGCCCAGAATAAATCATTTCTATAAAAAGTCATTGTCCTTTTCATTGGGGAATGACCTTGACACCAAAATCTAGGTTCTTTGTGTGGGCAGTGCGATACGATATCACTGTTTCCAAGTTCTCTGGACAGAAAGAACCAAAAAATATAAGACTAACATGCACATACACAATACCCTTATAATCCTATAACTCTCATGTAGTTTTCTCTGTCATCTCTCTGTGTCTCAGCACACATACATATATATGTATGTATAACTGTGGTACCATACTGATAAATCCAGTTTCAGTTGACAGAGGGTTTCTGTGAGCTTCCATCCTGCTCTTATTTGTTATCCTCTTTTTTGACCAGCAGAACACAATCTCACTCATAATATATAGATAAAACTAAGTAGGAGAGTATGCTCTTAGCATATGCAAAGCCCTTAGCTTGATCTCTCACACCATCATAAAACAGAAATAATGTACTTA